ACAATTAATGGAAATAATTATTTTTCGTTTGCCTCCCGATTGTTACGATGAGCGCAAAAGTGTTGTCTAATCCCTTAAGGCGTGCTTTTTATCTAATCGTCAAACTGTTCATCAATTCTAATAGTAATTGTTTTTAGTTATACCGATCGACACGACTATTTCCAGGCACTAAACCTAATGAATGCACTGAAAGGACACAATGTTTCGCTGCCTATACTTACAGGTCTATCGCTAGAGAAATAGAGGCATCACTTTCCTAAGTCTAATAATCACTTCAAATCACTTGTGTTTTTAAATACACGCTATTATGAAGATCTTCGAGAGACACAAATAATACTTTACAACCATTTAAATATATTACAGTAAACTCTTCAAGCAGATTCTTAGATATGATACAATAAATTGAATGTAGGAAAAACTTATTGTAGTTTAAAAATAACGGCGATTTATGAGGCGTGGACATAGAGGCCCGGGGTTTGTGATGTATTTTTAAACTTTTGTTTTGTGTGTTGTGCTGTCCTTTTGTTGTTCGGAGGGAATGACTGGAAAAATGATAATCAAATCAAAAGCTTAAAAAAGTGAAACAAAAGGGAAACAAAATATTTGTCACAAATAGAGTCCATTAAGGAAATGGAATTCTGAAGCAATTTATATCACATTTACTAAAGAATAATAGTTTCTTAAAAACTAAACTTAACGCTCAAAACCCATATATTCTCATTGTTTTTAGACTTTCTCTCGTTTTGAAAATTTAATCATAATTTTCGCATTTGTTTCGTCGCTTTGTATTCATCGCGTCGCTTGAAAATCGATGATTAGTTTTTAAAGTTTAATTAATAGGAGATGTGCTTGCTGTCTCTCTATACAAATCCTAATCCCAGTGCCGATGAATACAGTTTAGTCGTCGCCAGTATTAGGGATGAGTTTTATGATAGACCCAGTCGTCGGTGCCATCAATGGGAACGTAACCGACAGATCGTTGGAGGTATGGATCAGTAATAAAATTAATTTTTGTTTTTTGAAAAATAAAAATGTATCTTCAGTTCCCTTTCTTATGCCATTAAATATGTTTCTATTGATTAGACAAAAACAAAAATGTTATGAATATATTTATATAGACGTTGAATGAAACGACATGTAATATATAATTCATAACCCAACTCCATGTATATATCAATCTTATGAAAAAATTATTTCTTTTGGTATATTATTAAATCGTAAGACCTATGGATTACAACATATAATCATAAATTTTTGTTGTAATATATCTTAATCCACACTAACTCGTAATATACTGTGCATTAAGTTAAACATATTTAATTTAGGCATTAGATATTATTGTTATTAAGGGCATGAATACATTGATAATAAACACAAATGAACAAAGCTCCAAGATTTATACAATATAAAAATAGCCAAAAGGATATTTTACTAAATTATGTTGCTTAATTTCTATAAATTTGTCTTTATTATAATATCTTAAGATAGTCATAAAAAATCTCATTAAACAAAATTGCGACAATTTAAACGATAATTAAGTATAAATAATTCCCGTAATAAGTATCGCATTAATAAAAACGTCTGCAATAAAATTATGTTGACATAAATTAAATGATATTTTTGGTGTTGTTGTATATAAGGCATGGATTTATCCGATGATAGCGAATGTGGGACATGGCTTGCGATGAACATTAGGGGCAAAGTGGCCGCTCTATTGAATGTCATTAAACCTTTCGACGCGATAGAAAACAAAAGATCCAGAGGTTTAAGAGAGTTGATTGAATCCGTCGATTGAAAAACTCCTATTTAAATATTAACGCGTTTGTCATTAATCTGCAGGAGTTTTGTCAGTCGATTACCTGACGAGCGATTTCGACGGCTTTACTTATTTAAAGACAATCGCAAAGCATTGCAATCGTTTCGACGGATTTATATTCGTTACCATTGATATCAAGTTTCGTTTTCATGTAATTGTTTTTACGATTACCTGACGAGCGATTTCGACGGCTTTACTTATTTAAAGACAATCGCAAAGCATTGCAATCGTTTCGACGGATTTATATTCGTTACCATTGATATCAAGTTTCGTTTTCATGTAATTGTTTTTGAACACAATTTTTATAGTTAAATAATTTTTTTGTAGACAACCTAATAATGAGGTGATGGCATCCTATTTAACAAATATGGATCAGACTAACCAACCCCACGCACTTGAACCCGGTATAAATTACATATCAATATATTCTATAGAATTTTATTCAATGTATAAGCATATTAATATTTTCAACCGACAGGAGTACACGTGTTTGGGAACAGTATCCCATCGCACCCGTGGATGAAAGTCCTATTCGCCAAACGAGATTTCGCGCAAATCTTATCGGAAGAGCGAAAAATTGAAAACAAAGAGAAATTAGTGGACAGACTGTTGGAAATGATGAGCTCTGAGAAAGAGTAAGCGAGAGAGAGAGAGAGAGAGAGAGAGAGAGAGAGATTCTGTATTGTTATAATGAAATGTGATGTTAACAAAGTTAAACTAATTTTGTGAGGATTTTCAAAAATAAGAGAGCGAGAGAGAGAGCGAGAGAGAGAGAGAGAGAGCGAGAGAGAGAGATGAAAAAACGATAATTCATTTTCTCAGACGACTGACCCTATGATAATGTACTGCCAATATATTCATGTCTGTATATACCCTACCCATACATACAGATACTTCCCCGACAATCAACTGGTAAGGGATGCAAATGGTTTGCCGCTGAATGAGGCGCTCATAAGAAAGTTGAGTTCGTTTTGCGTTCGGATTCCGAATATATTATTCGGTTCGAGGAATGAATTACTTTTGCAAATGTTTGGTATAAATAATAAACTGACAGATATTCTGCTTCTCCCTCTCTATACACACATACAGAACGCAATCAATTATTTTGATTGATGCCAAAGGAAATGTTGATTATGTGGAGAGAACAATGAGAGACATACAGCCCATACAACCCGTACACACCATTGAGCACAGAGAGCACACATACCATTCCCATCACCGCCAATACCAACACAATCATCACAATTGGATCACTACTCGGCTAACACTGCGTTTGCAACACAACAACACTCTATCCATTTCACGCCTTTAGCATCGGATTCACAGCTTTTTACATAACACTATTGCCCACAACAGCACTAAATGTTTGTCTCATTTAATTGAATGAAAAAATATGAGATAACAACTACTCATTCACTCCATGCTCTAACTCTTTATCACTATCTCTAATATTACGGTTCAGGCAATCGTTTTGTGTTATGAATCGCGTCGAAAAACTTTTACACATTATATGCTATTAGAGAGAAAGTATAATATCTATCTATCAATAACTATTGACTTAATGTATGTAATAATTGCTATTTTATTATCTAAATGCGAGAATATTATTCACAAACTCAGAATAATACGAGAATTGTATAGTTTTTATTACCATTTATTATATTTTAAGTCAAATCAAAATTTGAACTGTATATTTTTTGTGTATTTGGTTTACACATAGATTTATGGCTCAATTTATTTAAATTTGATTCATTGAAAAACAGAAATGAATAAATTGGACGTGAAATATGAGTTCCCGCTCTAAGGTTTTATTTACAAAAAATATTTACTTTATTCTGGATTCTAATGAATTCAAAGTTTTCCCATTCATGTGCTAATACACTACTGAATCATTGAATTGGATATCAAATTAATATGATTGTCCGACTCTTGAATGTTTATCAGCCTATCACATTAAATGATTACTATTTTTAGATGCAACTAGTTAATTATTTATAATTATATATATTTTTCAATTACCTGCAAATTGAAAATTAATTCAATATTCTTATACACTCTCTATAAATATTTTTTAGTTTGCATTTTGTAATAATATCTCTTTAATATAATATACTTATTGTAATAAAATAACTGAAAAACAAAATATTTATGCACTTTTATACTCAAGAATTTCTGACACAATAAAAATTATATATAACTTGCAATAAATCACAAACAAATACTTGTATTTCTGTGGACTCAGCGCTAATATTACTGCTTAAATAAATGTGAGATACATATCGGGACACGAATTTTGCTTCATATAAAAAATGTCAAACAATTTCACTACATATCAAAAAAGTCCAAAACACACCAAAAAGTGTTTAAAACACAAAAAATTATAAAATATAAGCATTTAATTGCTATAATAAAACATTCAAACCGATTGCCTATGCATTGAAAGCAACAGAAAATTCTGTTACAGAATATTCTTGCGATGTGTTATGCAGTGAAACATGCATTCAATGCATTTGAATGCAGTGTTTGTGTTGAGTGTTGAGTGCGAGCGCCGACTGTCGCCACTGAATGCACGCATTGTCTGCCATTTTGTCGGTCATATCAACACTCGTTTCCATCGACTGATCCATTGAGTGATGATTTTGGTTCACTTCCGACCGGTCGGCCTCTGCCGACAGCTATCGTCGCCTTCATGTCTGTCACCCATCACTACACACATCACTGTCCATCACATCCCACGCAGATATACGCAACACTTCACGAGGTGTGCGGATCCGGCGAAGTGTCCGAAGGAGTGGACAACTAATGTGTGTTTGTGTTGTCCATCAGATTAGCAGAAGTGGGACGCCTGGAGACCCCGAAGCTGGAGGGCAAGTACGAGACGGGACAGCTGTTCCTGCACCGGGTGTTCGGCTATCGGGGCGTAACTCTGTTCCCATGGATGGCCAGAGTGTACGACCGCGACGTTAACCACAAGAACCAGAATCGGTTAGACATCCAACGCATCCATTCACTCAACTAATTGATTGTGTGTTTGATTTGACGGCAGAACTGGCGAAGAGGCGAACAGCGCCGGCTATAACACAGTGGGCCGGGAGGTGAAGGGACACACGCATACATACTATCAGGTAGTGGTCACTGAACGCACTCATGAGTGACAATAAGTCTTAAACAATGGTTTATCTCTTAATTAGGTTCTGATCGACACCAGAGACTGTCCTTTTGTGGTAATGAATGACAATTTATTGGATCTATTGATGTGATTAACGAGTGTTTGTGTGGTTATAGCGGACACAGACAGAAGCGGTCACTTTTCTGGGCAATCAGGAGAACAGCCGTTCCCTATACGCCATCCCTGGCCTGGACTACGTGGCCCACGAAGACATACTGCCCTACACGTCGACGGAGAAGCAGCCCATACAACACGAACTCTTCGACAAGTTTCTGATGTTAGACCCGGAGAAAGACCCGCCGTATAGCCCGAGAGAGACGCTGAGGGCCTGGCAGGAGAAGAACCATCCGTGGCTCGAGTTGTCTGATGTGCACAAAGAGACCACCGATACGATCCGCGTCACTGTCATCCCCTTCTACATGGGTTGCCGTAACTCACAGAATACTAACGTCTATTGGGTTTGTAGTCATTGCGGAGAATTGTGTCGCGATTTGCATAGCATTTAATTATGGGTTTTGTTTGTGGTTTTAGTGGCGATATTGTATTCGTTTAGAGAATTTGGGAGATATGACGGTTCAGCTCAGGGAAAGGCATTGGAGAATATTCAGCCTCTCGGGTACGCTCGAGACGGTTAGGGGCAGAGGTGTTGTCGGACAGGTATGCGGTTTTCACGCTTTTTACCGTATATTTGTATACAATTTACAACATTACCGGTATATCTCTATTCAGGAGCCGGTTCTCTCGAAATCGTTTCCCGCCTTTCAATACAGCAGTCACGTTAGCCTACAGGCGCCCAGTGGTCACATGTGGTCAGTCACTAGATCTGCGAATTAATTACGAAATGAAATTAATTTTGAAACATTTGCTACAAATTAGGGGTACTTTTAAGATGGAGAAAGAGGACGGAAATACGTTTGACTGTCGGATCCCTCCCTTCACGCTGGAGAGTAAGCCCGACGCTAGCAGTCCGTCGCCTAACGCTAACACTTAGGGCTAATCCATAATAAAGAGTTTATGTATTAATTTATATTTAAATATATAAATATAGAGAACAATTTTTAACAAATATTGTAAATTTTAAGTCATTTATTAAATTCTTTAATTGTTAATATTTTTAAAACTGGTTTTTTATATATAATTTTTTTATTGAAATATATTTTCTCAGCAAATACAGTGTTTTCTTAGCTTTACGTTAAGTATGAATTGGTTAGTACTTTGATATTAACGAATATCTCATAACTTATATCTAAAAATTAGTATATTTTTATAATACCGGTAATTAGTATTATTTTATGATTTATTTGTCAATGAAATTCAAGTGAGTAACTAATGACAGGTGATCCGACGGGTAGTTAAGGTTAGGAATTGGTTTTGTCAAGTGTTGGCTCTCCAGCGACAAAACCGATGATACTTTGAAGTGAGTTTTCGTGAAGAATATATAATCGAGAGTTCGTTTCATCTCTTTCTCGGACTCGCGTTTAGTCCAAGTCGTGAACGACGGCTCTTCTTTGAGGCCTTCCTTATAGGCGGACACCATTCGCGACGATATTGTCTTATATACCAATTCGTTGGGCTCGGCGTTGAAGTCTCCGCTCAATACTAACGGTATGTTTTTCGCCTTTTTCACTAAATATTTCATTAAATCCTTTCCTATATTATAAGAATTTTATATAAGAATAAATACACAATTAAACAAATGGTTACTATAAACATACCCTGTTCATAACGGAATGCCGATAAAATAGGACCCCTTCTAGCTTTGAGGTGAGTGGTGGCCACACATAACTCGCGGTCCGATTCTCTGTGTCTGAATGTGGCGCAAAGGACCACTTGATTTGTCTGATACTTATAAACCCGTAATATTCTCTTTGAATACTTAATCAGATCCAATCGATTGAGTTTCCAGAATATAGCGCACCCGTCGGGTCCGCAATTGTTCTCCATGTAATTGCAGGGGGAGTCCGGTTTGGGAACAAATATGCCCCCATAGCCCAGTCGACTCAGTATTTCCATTAAGTAATCAAAGCAATCGACCTTAACATGTGATAGGATTTTATGTTTTATTTAAACTTTCAGATTTAATTTGAGAGTAAAGTAAACAATTAGTGAACAATATTTTCTGCCATTCAATACCTCTTGCATACAGATTATGTCGATTGGAGAGTACGAGAGGACCTCCGCTACGAGTTTCCATCGCCTCTTAGACCAGTATAGGTCTTCGGCATCGATGGTGTCGAACCGGTCGTAATGAATGGCCAATGCTTTGGAGGAATCATTTAAGTGATAAGTAAGTGATCAGAAAAAACTTGTTTAACAAAAGTATGAGTCTTATTGTAATTAAAACAAATCATTTGAATATGTATTTATAATTTGCGATAATAATTGGGTCAATGCTGTTCAATCCTTAACCCGCAAAACAGGTTAGTCTGTCAGTCAACACAAACTTATAGTTTGTTTCGAAAAATAAGTTACAAAAGATCTCTCTGTTTGTGTTTATCAATACTTGTCGTCAACTTTGCGATTGAATACCAGTTATCGATATATATATCTATACCTTCTGAGCATATATTCCACGACATGATTCTTATTCCATTGGATTCACATGAGTTTCCCAAACGAATCATTCTTCTGGATATGAGATTCGGTTCGTCTTTGAGTTTGGTTTTACAGAATCTCACGATTTCCTCGGAATCGTCGGAATCCTCTTTAATTACTTTCTTATACTCGAGTTGTTCCGTCGATTTCATGGCATTTATCAACGAATGTGTGTTTCCGTCGCTTCAGAGAAACAAAGAATTTATGAGTTTAGAGAATATTAGAGAATATATTCTATAATAGGAAATAGTTTTAGAGAAAAAACTTTTTTCATGTATTTACCGAATGAGTTGAAGTACTAATGACTTTCTCTTATTATTATTTGCAAATGAATTCTTAATCTCTTGCTCTAAAAAGAGTTGCTTCCGATTGCAGACACTGTAAAGACTCGGTGACAACATGTCTGGGGATGTGGTGATTGGCGTCCGCGAGTGTGAAGAGACTGAGCGATAATGAGAGCTCACGTCCAGAATGTGATTACTTTTATTTCTAGCAGAAAAACTTTTTTCAAATTAGTATACATTTGATTACAAGGTAACCAGAAAACAAGGCTAAACGCAGACAAACAATGCATTGCAGTTTGGCTTTTATGTGCAAATTGTGTTGTTTTGAGCCAAAA